GGAAGTCTTATTAAAATATCAACAATTGATCCATTTTCTTTTACAACATATTAATACCAGCAGTTACCAACACATTTTCTTTGTTGTGTTTGATGCTTTTGATACTCTAACAGAAAAATACCTTCTAATACAGGAAATTAAGAGGTATCACAGAAGAGCTGTGGAAACCATGAGTAAAGCAGTAGAGGGCAATATTATCACCATGATTTTCCGGTAAATCATAACAAAAAATGTAATGAACTGATAATACAATGATGTTCCTATATAACTCCCTATGGAGTCTGCTAATTGTATTATATAACCCCAAATACTCAAGATTGACAAATAAGGCAATATTTTTGAGATTCTAGTACCAGGTTTACTGAAAATAGGATGCAACCAGACCTGTAAGTTTACTAAACTTAAATAAATCAGTGTCTATCAATTTCAACAAACTTAATCAGAATATGTAGGTATAAGCTCTTAAGTAATAGGAAGACTGAAGTCACTTCCGATGCCAGGAGTTGGGATCCTCATAAGTGATAAGACTGTAAAGTATAGATCTAAAAACAATGGCAGTTAATGGATACTACAGTATTAATTTCTTTTCATTTATTTCTGGGACACTAGTTCATACCACACTGTTCTTTAATTCTCAATAGAGAACCAACCAAGAATCTATCTTCTTAATAACTATTGGGATAAAATTGATGATAGATTGATTATTTAAAAATAAACCAACTCTTCTAGCCTCTTACTGTCCTAAGAAAATGATCTGACTTAGGAGACCAAGTAGTTCCCTTTTAACACAGGAATTCTGTTTCCCAGCTTATGTAAAACATTCACAGAATATAGTACTCAATTTATTGATGGAGAAATTGCCAAACGTCATTTTGCCAGCTGTTCCTGATCAAGTACTAGGAGTACACCAACTAGCCATTTCCTGGAAATAAAACTGATTAGCAACTCAGTTTCAGAATGAAAAGACATTAGTAAAAAAAAAAAAAAAAAAAAAACAGCAAAAACGTTATTTATAACACAGCTAAAAATAATTAATAATAATCAGAAGTTATATTGCTCAGGAAAAATAAAAAGGGAAGTGAGTCAAAACCAAAGTTACTGACATGCTAGAATATTTTGTTCTCTGAACTAAGAAAATATCTACACAAGAACACTGGAACAAAGGACACTTCACATTTAATTGTTGTCATTATATACTGAGTTTGTAAGAAAATAATCCAAATGAACTAGAAAACTTCAGCATCAAACTTCACCCATATTTAATAAGCACCAATTACCTTTAAGTAGTAGTTTTATAGTTCCCCAAAATCTGATTGATATGAGAACTTACTCAGTAAAGAATAAGGATGATTTGGGTGTTACTATCAATGCATAGTATGGATTTCAATGACCTGTTAAATTTAATTATTCTTGAATTTTTAAAAAAAGTTTCATGCTTTGTTAAAAACAGCTTGTTTTTAGGAAAGTCTCACTCTACTACTCTCTAATTCAGTACATAAAAGTAGGTAATATTTACAATGAATTTACAGTCTTCTTTATTTAAAGGAATATTTCTATCCCAAATATATTTGGAATATTTATCTAAATGATTGTTCTCAAACTTCACTATACTCAAAATTTAGAACACAGGCATATGTAAAGCTTTGAGAAGACTTCTGTCATTTTATTCATGGATCCAAACTGAAGTTTTTTTTAAGAGCCTTGCTACATAGTTCACACTGGCCTTGAACTCACTATGTAGTCCAGGCTGGCCTCAAATGCATGCCTCCTGAGTGCTGGGATTACAGGCATGCACCACCATACCTGGCCTTTTGGAAATACTATACCTCATGTAGATATGCTAAGCACAGTCCTCAGCTATTGTTGGGCTACAATCTACTGAAGTATCTAGTGGATGAGAAAAGAAATCATCACACAGTACTTAAAGAAATGTTAACACCTATACTAAGAAAGTAGAACCCATATAAGTACTATGCAAGCTAACAAGACTTTTTCAATATTCTTTCCACTATCACAAAAATCAGTTACAGAAACCAATGTTTACATTTCAGTCATAAACACTGCTCTTAAAACAATCTTATCATCTGATTTGTGACTAAATCTGAAAAGCATATTGAACCTATGGCTAGCCAATTTCTCTGGCAAAGAGCCCAGAGTAAGACAATACTTTTATGTTCCCTTAAACATTCTGGGAAGAGGGGGGAAAACCATACTAAACTAGGATGGGTTAAAACTGGCAATATATCCATTATGGACACAAGTGGCACTACAGTGAAATTTAAGAACATATTGCTTTCTATATACACAATGTGACCTTACTGGAAGATGAGTATTTACAAAGACTCTAGAAAGCTATAAACATCTTGACTACCTAGACTTTAAACCTTGACTGTGTCTCCACCATAGTATTTGTCATCAGTAGTTTCACCTGAATATTTAAATAACTAAAATCATTTTATGTCCTACTTCTATCATCCAGTGGCTGCATACAAATCCACAAATATTATAAGTGACATTATATAGACTATTACCTATATACTTTCCAGAATAATGAATATGACTGAATAAAAACTGGAGCATTTTGAGCTTTAAAAACATTGTTCAATTTCTAAATTATTTTTTTAGGGCACTGCTGGAGACTGAATTTAAAGTAAAAATGCAAACTCTGAAATTTTTAACAAAACAAGGTTTGCTTTAAAAAGATAGAAAATACTCTTGTCACACAAATATAATAATCAAGTAGCACTTGCACAGCTGCAAGATGACTTGCCATTTACACACTGACAAATACTGAATTTTCTTCAAAGTCCCAGGAGCTCCTACTGTAGCAGGTGCAGCACAGAACTCTGTGTTGGGGCAAAATAGGAGGAGGGGAAGGAAACTTCAACTTAAGCCAGTATAATTCAAAAAGTAAAGTTAATAAATAAGTTACAACAGAAAACCAACTTCCAGGACAAAGTAAGCAGTTAACTGTCACAGTTATAATAATAAATCTCTTAAGAATGGAAGACAACAAAATAATTACCATAACAATATACCAATCATAGAAAATAAATTATCCACATTTTAACAGTATTTTCTTGGGGGGAATTATGACAGGAGCATGTCAAAGCTTACAAAGCTGAAGAAGCAAAATAAAATTGAAGAAAAACTTTTCTTAGAATAATATTTCTGGGGCCAGGAATGTAGCTCAGTGGCACAAGTGCCTGCCTGGCAAGTGCAAGGTCCTGAGTTCAATTCCAGGTACCAAAACAATAATAATGATAATAATAATAATAATTCCATTGAAGGAAGAATAATTTTCCACAACTGGTTTATAAAGCACCTATGAAACTGTGCTGTCAGCTGTCACAATGGAGGTTTTGGATTCTTTTAGCAATTGCAGCATAACAAAAGGCATTTCACAGCATAACTTTAGGGAAAATGTTACCTAGTCTAAAATCACACAGAAAGGAATTAAAAATTCTTTTAATTATTCATTGTACATAATTTTTCTAGGTAGCAGCAGCTGCTCCTGTACTTGCCATTTTGAAAACCATGAAACAGAAGCAATAGAGAAACAAAGGAAGTTCAGAGTAGCAGTGTTAAACAAAAAAGCAAATACTTAAAATACATTAAGAAGAATTTAAAATAAGGAAACAGTACTGTGCAACTTTCAATTATACTAAGTAAAGTGCACTGCCTAAATATTCACTGATAACATTTTCCCTGTTGAAAATGCACAATCTACTTAATCAGTATTTTTTGATATTTAAAAAAGACATTCACTATTATAGCCCTGTTGGCTATCTTCCAGTATTTTTAACCATTCAGATGTGTTTTTGGGAAATATTTATTCACATAATTTTGCTTAATACATTTTTTTCTACACAAGATGAAATTAAAAATATCTATAACATTTTCAATTACAGTAACATCAATAAATTATAAATTAACAAAACTTTTATATTTGCTTTAAAAAAATCATTTATCAAATGCTAGCTTCCAGATTATCTGGAAAATTAAAGATGCACATTGCTATAAATCTGGCATCCCAATTAAATTCTAACTTTTAAAAGTATATAAAATGTCCCTCTAATTTATTCCAAGTTCCACTCCAGAATTTTTTATTTGACCTTTTCCATAAGTTACTAAGTTTACAACCTGCTAAATATTTTACCCAAACGTGGGAACTGAAAAGCTCAACAAAATAATTACATATATGAAAAGAACAAACAAAAGATACCCGTTAAAAGAAAGTCATTGTAGCCTGCAGCACATAAAATTGGTAATCATATTTAAAAGTTGCATAGCTGCAAGATGATTTGTGACTACTGAGCAGTTTCATTTAAAAGGAAAACAATATATTTCATAAACTGCAATTCTATTACTTAAAATGTAATTATGTAACTTGATTTGCTCTTTGGACAGCATTCTGGTAGTATTAAACCTTTAATTTAAAACTGTCAACATATTTTAGCTTTCCTATGTAGATACCTATTTTTCACATTTGGTGAACAAAAAGACTGGAAGAACTTGAGATCACAGTCTACATTCAGAGAATGTTTTACTGCTTGATTACATTTCTTGGTTTTCACATTTAAGACTTTAGTTTATAAGAAGTAAATTACGTTGTTTTTAATTTAAGAGTAGATGAATATTGGGGAAAACAGACCCCAAACTAAAACAAACAACAAACTAAAACACAAAAAAAGAGAACAAATCAAAGCACAGCTAGTTGCACAGCTCTAGAAAACTGAGTAAAAAGTAAATCAACTTTTCAGTTAACTTTGGCGTCTGAATACAAAATGTGGATCAGTATTATAACTATGTAGATGACTACTGAGGGATGTGCAGCATTTTCAAAATCCCTGTGTGTCCCTTATATGCAAGTTTGGTACACTGAGTTCTGTGGTTACTGTCCTCTCTTCAGCAGCGCTATTTTCTTGTACGACTGTCCATCTCTCTATTACCAAACCTCATAGAACTCAGATTTCTGGCTGAATAAGCCCACATTTTTATTTTTGAGAGACAGGTCCTCAAGTCCTCTTAGATTTTTCAAGCATCTTGAAAAGATAAGAAAACCTGTGTAAAAATAGAAAAATGTAGTTTATAACCATGGTCCATAATAGTAACAGACAAATCAAAAAACAACATTCATTTCCTTATGACTTTATGACACTGAATCACTGTAAAATTTAATATCTTTTACTTACTACTCCAAAAACTCTTAAATTAGTTAGTGTTCTATAAAGGAACAGTTCAGGACACAAAAGGACCAAAGCTTAAAATATCACAAAAGTCAGTCAATAATATGGATTCTTCTTCCATAAGGAAAACTACATGAGGAAAGAGTATTTCAAATACAAACATGCTCTCTTAATTTTTATAAATTTCCTCAAATAGCTAAAAATTCCCCAAATAAAAAACTAAATAATTTCCTGATTAAGACCTCAGATATTAATGTATTTCTGCTTTGGGCTAACAATTAAACTCTTATGCTGACATATGTGTATTTGCTTTTTAAAAAAATATTTTAACCTTTTCAAATCCATATGCTTTTTAATCTAGGACAGGTAAAAGGATGGAAAGAATTTATCACTTGATAAATATTAAGCAGTCATAACAGAAGCAAAAATGTAAGTAAAAATATTCCATGTCTACAGATTCTTAAGAATGACTCAGTCTCTACAGACAGACCCCATTAGCTCAGATTTCAATGGAAAGCTGACATGATGAGAGTTGATGCGCTGAGATAGCTCAGCAGTTTAAGTGCCTGCTGGGCAAGCACAAAGTCCAGAGTTCAAACCTTGTAACCACAAATAAACAAACAAACAAACAAACAAACAAACAAACAGTTGACTAGTTCAATCTTCTAGATACACACTAAAAGCTAAGGTTCTATGTACCAAAAAAGATACATAAGGAAATACATTTTGTTTAAGACTAACAGATACACATTTCCTAACCCTGGTATTTGGGATTAAATCAGGGTGCCTTACCAATGAGTTGCATCCCTAGCCCTTTTTTAAAATTCAATTTTGAGGCAACTGCAGTCCTACTGCTTCAGCCTCTCAAGGAATTGGGTTACAGGCATGTGCCACCATGCCCAGCTGACAAGTATTTTATGATGTGAGATGTGTGTTACATATACGCCATAAATTCACTATAAAACTAAAGAAAAAATTCAAGGATGAGACCATGAAAGAAAATAATTTATATCATAAAATTCCTTTTTTCTTAACAGAATAAAATGTATTTATTATACTATTGTCTGAATGTGTCTCCCCAAAATTTTTATGCTGAAAACTAATCTCTAGTACAATAGTACTTAATAAGAAGTAGGGTCCTTGGTAGGTGATCAGTCATGAAGGCAATGCCTTCAAGAATGGGCTTAAAGTCCTTATAGAAGCTGGAGAGAGGCTGCTGACCCTTCTGCCATCCTAGAACATCCAGAAGGTGCTGTAAATGAAGAACAGAAGTCCTCACCAGATATCGAATCTATTGGTTCCTTCATCGTAGACTTTCTAATCTCCAGAACTGTGACCAATAAGTTTTTCTTCATTCTAAATTAACTGAAATATTTTGCAATGGCAGCTTGAATGCACTAAGACTCCAAATGGGAAAAATTATTTGTAGTTGATTTAGATGTATTCATCATGTAAAATACTAAGGTAAAAATTTCATTTTATTAACATTGACTTTAATGCAATAACATAGCAGTAGAGCATAGTGGAAAAAAGCTACTCAACTCATGGCATCCAGGAAGAAGAAAATAGCCAGAGAGGAAAGGACCAATGACCAATATAGTCCCCTTGGCCACACCTCTCTGACCCACCAAGAAGGCAATCAAAACGACAATCAAGCTTAAGGATCACAGTTACCTAAGAACACACCTAGGAAGTCCATGCTCAAATGTGTGAAATTTAATTCCACTTGCTAGTGGCATGACTTTGCCCTCTGGGTGCAATCTGCCTCTGATTTTGTTTTTTCTTCTTAAATCACTTTATTCAGATATGAAAAACATGAAAATCTATACATATTTCACATGCTTAATTCGATGATCTTGGCACAACTTTTTTTTTTTTTTTAACTTGGTAGGCAAATGCTTTTGTTTGTTTGTTTGTATTTAAGACAGGGTATATAGAGTCTCACTGTGTAGAATGGACTGATGGTGATCCTCCTGTTTACAGTCTTCCAAGTGCTGGGATTACAGGCATGTGCCACCACACCCAGTCTCAATCACTGACTCAGTGCACCCCCTGGGGGGGAGGCAGCACGGCAGGCCTGGGGATCAAACTCCCAGCCCCTGCATCTGCCTAAGAAGGTGCTTAAGGCAAATGCTCTTCTACCACTGAACTCAATCTCCAAGTTCCTACAACTTGCTTCTTGATGTCACAGAACTAAACTACTGTGACCCTCGAGTCTCTCATGAGAAGATGGATAATGATATATATTTCAGTTTTTTTAAAACTAGAAGTACATAAATGGGTTTTAAAGTGCAACAAGAATCAACAGTTACTAAACATCTGAGTCTACTCAGAATGAAGAAAGTTGTTTAATGCTGCTTCTTTCTTTTTGTTTTTTTCTCTTCTTCTTGAGGGGTAAGGAATGGTGATGGAGCCCAGGATCTCATTGAGCAACATCTTCAGCCCCTTTAATGTATTTTTTAATGTGAGTTTTCTACACAGTAATCTAACATAGTACCTGCAACACATACCAGTATACATACACAAACACAACAGGCAACTAGAAATGTACATCAGTGAATAAATTAATGAATAAAACTGGTAGCTGAAGGGTAATTCAAGATAATCTTAAAAGCAATTACAACAAGAAAGGAAGAATTACCTATAGAATAGGCATCTGATGTTTAATCTGAGGGATGCTCAGGACAAGATCTATTTACTTCAAACCATTCATCTATGCAGCTAGAAAAAAACAAAACCAGAAAAATTTATTTGTCTAGGTATTTATATCATGACAGCCATAATAAAAATTCTTACTACTGGATGTTAGTGTATCTTCAGAGAAAAAAAGGCCAACTTTAATGATCATATTTGGCAACTAAATAGAAGCACATGCTTAGTATTTTTTGATTATGTTAAGCTTTTAAGAAAAAAATCTTTGAGATAATGCTACTAAGTAGTTTAAAGCTTAAACAAAACAATTATTCTCTAGTTTCAACTATCATTTTACCAATATTCAAAATTAGAGGACAAATTTCAGAAAGACATTTTCTTTTCAAAATATTCTGTGAATACAAACCTGTTTATGCCATCTATTAATATAAAAAAGCTAAATTTCAATCCTTGAGAACATATTACATTAATTTGAATTCTATCTCACTCTCCAATGCATATACATATACAAACACACCATCATCCTTTTGCATTTCTAGAAGAGTGTATGATGTTATCTTATTAGTTAAATATTAGGGTACATATAATTATCTTCAATGTAAATCTGTACACTATTGCAACAGTCAAGAACCACATATTATTTAAATTTAAATTCATTAAGATTCAATTAAAGAAAAAGAATCCAGTTCCTCAGTCACTCTAGCCACATTTTACACTTCAAGTGCTCACCAGAAACATGGCTGGTAGGTACCCAGGTAGACTGCAGATATAGAACATTTCCATCACCTACAGAAAATTAATTTACAATGCTATGATAGATAAAATCAAAGTCTTAAAAGATTAAGTAGCTTGCTCAATAGCCAGTAAGTAACCCAAGCGAAGAATGTTCAACATTCTCCTTGGTAACATATGTCAAATTTGAGTATGTCACAAAACTCTTAAGACATGGATAATATACTGAAGGGCAAAATTAATACTTATCATTCTCATAACCTCAGAGGTTGGTTTGGCAGGTGAAAATAATGAAAAGAATGTAAAATATCTTATCTATGCAGTTTTTTTATCAAGTAAGGCAATTTCTGTTGCCATTAACACTTTTAATCTCAAACCTATCCCTGTTAAGGCTTAAGACATTATTTTATAGCTCTCTACCATTTGGCTCTAAAGTCCCCATTTACCAGAATACCTCTCAACCCCCCCCAAAAAAACCTAAGACCTAAACAAAGTACTCCAAATGTACAAACAATTCAAAGAACAAGGTAAGCACCTATGTGATTTAAAATGTGTACTTATTTACAACCATGCAATTTTAATTTATCATGAGAAAGAAAAACTCCAGGTTCTCTTCACATAAACTACCATCAATTCACATTTTTCTAGTCTAACTGTTTTTACTGGTTATTTAAAATAAGACATTCTGTAGCAGGAAATATCTTTGCTGACTTTGGTGCTTTCCATGCATGGGTATTTTCTTACTTTGCAATGACTTATGTATGTTTTCTAAAACAACAAACAGTAGTGTTTCCATGTTTAAAAAGGTGTTTCCACCAGAATGCATATTAACTTTGTCTCTAATCACAACTTGATCCGACACTGAAAAAAAAAAAATAACACTAAGACTTTCTCAATGAAGGAACCATTGTGTTGATTTCTGGTCTGGGTACAGCACTGTTTTAGAAAGATCAGGACTTTTTCTTTTTCTCCCCCCCCATATTTAGGACAGGGTCTACAGGGTCTCACTATGTAGATTGGACTCTTAGTGATTTCTGTTTACAGCCTCCCAAGTGCTGGGATTACAGGCGTGCACCCCCATGCCCAGTCTCCATTGTGGTCTCAGCCGCTGGTAGGGTAGGCGTGGCACACTGGGGATTGAACCTCAGCCACTGCACACTGCCTAAGCAGGTGCATTAATCTGCTGAACTATCAGGCTGTTGCTCAGGAATTTTTCTTGAGCATATATCTGGAGGTAGAACTATGCTGCAGCATACATACTGCATGCAACTATTATAGCTATCCATCAAATATATCAACTTATATTTACATATTTATTAGGGTTTTGGGATTTCCACTTTCTGAACTGATTTAACAGTAATAATAATTATTATTTGTTATTATTATTTTGGATCTTTTTGAGATAGGGTTTTACTACACAATTCAGGCTGGGTATGAACTCACTTTGTAGCCCAGGATGGTCTCGAACTCGCAGCAATCTTCCTGCCTCAGATTCTGAAATGTTGGGATTACAGGTGTGCACCACCACACCCAGCCTGATTTACCTTTTCACACATTTTCTATGTTAATTTTTTTCTTCAACTTCTAGAAAGTCATAATTTCAGCTATAAATGTATGTTTCTGACATGCCTTGCTTTTCATATAATTGTATTCCAAAAGTAGTAAGGTTTATGGGGAAAAAAAATCAGACTAAAAGCAGACCATTCACACACAATTTTGTGATCAGAAAACACGTGCTAAACAAAACAAAACAAAACAAAACAAAACAAAACAAAACCAAAAAACACCACTTACTAGGCATGGATACATGCTGAGACATTATCCCAACCATTATAGAGGCTCAGAAGGATTATCGAGTTCAAAACTACCCTGGGCTACTTTAACAAAACTTTGCGTCAAGAGAACAAAAATTTTTAAAACAGCAAGGGATGTAGCTCAATACAGCTCTTGCCTAGCATACAGAAGGCACTGGGTTCAATGCCTGGTAGTACCACAAAAACAAAAACTAAACTAACAAACAAACAAAAACAAACAAAACTTGGCAAGAGATCAAAGACATTTCCCTGTATTCTCTCTTCAGCACATAGGCTTTAGACTCTCACAGGTGATATTTAGACAACTTGAACTTGACTTTATTTCCAATGTAAGAAACAAGGAATGGTCAAATAGCTCAGCAGATTAAAGCACTTGCAATCAGACGCAGGGGTCAGAGGTTCAATCCCCTGGCCTGCCAAGTGCCGGCCGATCTTGGGGCACATTGAGACAGGGAGTGAGACTGGGCATGGTGGCACACACCTGTAATCCCAGCAGTTGAGAGGCTGTAAACAGGAGAAATCACTAAGAGTCTGGTCTAGTAGTGAGACCCTGAATATCCTATAGACCCTTCCCTAAAATAAATAATCAAACATAAGAAACTTATTTATGTTTTGCTACATCAATAACCAATTCATCCCAGTACCACTTATTCAAGTGTTCATTCTTTGTTTACTACAGTCTCATACCATTCCTGGCAAATCAATTGTTTATTCTACAAACTTTTATATAGCATCTATTAGTGCCAGCACTTTGCAAAATTTAAGTCAGCTAAAACCCCATAACTACATGAAGCTGGTACTATCTTCCTTGTCTTCCAAATTCAGAGAGACATAAACATAAATAACTTGATGACTGGACGAGCTGGGACGCAAACCTTGAGGGTCCTGACTCCAGAGTCTAACCTGAGTCTTATTCCCAACTACAGTTTTTCCACACAACCATGGTTCAGCGGTGTTGCTTCCATACTATCTTAATAATCTAAATTTAACTAGGACAACCCCCCATCGTGTTCTTCGTAAGTATCTTCATAATTTTAAATATTTTGTTCTTTGGTCCGTATGTATGTATGTATGTATGTATGTATGTATGTATGTATGTTATTTTTTGCAGTACTGGAGATTGAATTCAGGACCTTTTGCACAGAGCTACATTCCTAGCCCTTTTTAATTTTTACTTTAGGACAAAGCCTTGCTAAACTGTTCTGCTGCCCTTGAACTTGTGGTCCTTTTGCCTTAATCTCCAGAGTAGCTGGGATTATAGCTGTGACCACTAAGTCCAACTCATATGTATTTTGTAGAATCATCTTGCCCAGTTACATGGAAAACTAGTTGAGATTTGGTTGGGATAATACGGTCTACATAGATTAAGGTAAAAATGACATTTTTATGACACTGAGTTTTTCTATACATGGTATGGTGTATTTTACATTTCCTATTTTGGCTGGTACCTAGATAGCCCCCTAAGCCTCATGTGGTCATAGGTGGTGCGTTCTGGACACGGCTGGGTCTAGGGTATGTGATGCTGGAGTCAAGGACGTGAGGCAGAGATCAAGGGTGTGAGTGCTACCCACCCAGAGGGATAAAATATAACAAACAGACATGACTGGTGTGGCCTTTGCTGGTTGCTTGCTTTTCTTATGGCTTACTGCTTACTGTCTTCTAACTGCCAGCTCTGTACTGCTCCTCTGCTTTGGGGTCAACCACTTTGAACTGAAACTCTTACAAACTGTGAACCAAATAACCTTTTCTCACTTTGGGGATCAGGTATTTTGTCTCTGCAATAAAAAAAGTAACTAAGATGTCTCCTAATAATACTTTCTATCCAGTCTTTAAAGTCTCTATAAAAGCCTTGCAAATATCTTACAGCACTCGTAGTTTCTATTATATTTAATATTATTATTTAAAGAAAAGCTACATCTTCATTTTTCTTACAGGATATAAATGCAACCAATTTCCCTATATTGATCTCTTGGTAACCCAGCTTATTAATCTTAGTAATTTATATTTAACCCTAGTTTTTGTTTTAAAAATCAGTAATACATGCAGAATTTTATTGAAAGCCTCACATCTGTTAATGTAATGACCCTTTCTCCTTTAAGGTATTTAATGCAAATCAATTACATGCATAAGCTTCTAATTTCAGAGTATTTTTCATTCTTAGCATAAATCCAATTTGGTCATAAAGGACTATTTTACGTATATACTGTTAGATATGTATTACTAAATTTGGTTTCCTAATGTGCTTTTGGATTTCTACATCTATGTTGAAAAACGAATGTCTTAGTGTATAATATTCCCATAAAATAAGTGGGGAGAAACTTCTATTTTTTTTTTTTTTCTACTTTTAGAAGTTAAGATTGTTGACAAGGTAGTCTTTGAATAACTGGCACAAAGTTTTTTAGGGTTTTTTCTTTTAATGTTTGTTGTTTTTGCAAGAGTAGTTTTAACTACTTCAAATAGTTTGATCAGTTTAGGATTCCACTTTGTTTTAATCATTCTTAAAAACGTTTGCAATTATTTTAAATTTCTATCATATCATGTCCTTCTTTCTTTTGCTATTTTTTTTTTCTTCTAAGTATCACTTTTGGTCATGCTGCATTCTAATGTATCACTATTTTTCTCTCTTTTATTTATTTATTTATTTATTTATTTATTTATTTATTTATTTATTTTGGGCAGGGAGTACCAGAGACTGAACTCAGGACCAAATGCTTGCCAGGCAGGCACTTATGCCGCTGAGCTATCTCCCCAAACCATATAATGTTTTCTGGTTTTTTTAGTACAGGGTCTACGGGGTCTCACTACACAGATTGGACTCGTGGCAATCCTGTTTTCAGCCTCTCAAGCACTGGAGTAACAGGCACACGCCACCATACCCAGTGTCAGTCACCATCTCAGGCACTTCCAACTAATCTTTATTGTTTTTCTTAGTGTTTATTCTATTGATACTTACCTAATTTCTTAAATACTTTATTTATTGATTTCCACCTTTTCTAGCCACTTTAAGATGAAACTTCCCCCCCAGATCACCCTAGTACAGGTCAAAATTTTTCATTATTATTTAATTCCATGAGTTTTCTAAGTTCTATCATGATTTATTCTTGGATCTATAAATTATTCAGAAGTATATGTGAGGATTGTTTCTTTTTATTACTGATATTCAGCATTAGTAGTAATACAGCGAGAAGTAGCAGCGATATGGAGGGGACTGTGTAATGCATTATACCAGGAAGTGTAACGCAACAGCTGTGGAAACAAAAATGGAAATAATTGAGAGAATGGACTGAGGTGAAAAGATGGCGGACACCACTCATTCTTTTAACATGAATCATTCAATCACTGGCACAATTCAAATGGACAAGGACAAGATCACAGAGTATGTAAAGTCTGCTGTGCCAATAAGGTCAACAAATATCCAAAAAGCATGAGAAATGGAGAAGCTTTGCAGTGCAGGGATTCAGGATTGGCATTGGCACCAGCATCAAGTCCCATTCAGCTAAACGCTTATTCAAGGAAAAGCTAAATGCCCACTGACTCATGAAGACAAAACAGGGTGAACAGGGCACATACATCTTTCAACTAAGACTCACTTTGTTGGACTTAATGTTATTTGCCTGGGTATAGTTTTCTAGATTTTTACTTTCTTATTTCTCCATAGTCTTATGTTTTAATTATACTACTTATCAACAACATATCCCAACTCTGCCATCAATATTAACTTGGTGAATTTGTTTGTTAAAAACCTACTGTTATTATAAATATATTTGGATTTATTTTTATCTCCTTGTTCTCGCTGCCTTTTTTCCCCATCCTAACCTCTAAGTAAAATTCCAACTTAACTCCTTTCATGGATTTGAAAGCTATACTTTTCTATTCTTTTTGTGGTTACCTTAATTTTTCAATTTCTGAATCTAATTTTTTTTTATATTATCCTGAAAGCAAAATATTAGAAGCCAGATGGGATTTGGTGTCAAGCACATTCCAGATCTGCTGAAATCTCAGCTCTGTAATTTTCTAAAAATATAGCCATAGAGAGCTCTCTACTGCCCTGTGGCTTATTTCCTCAGTTATAAAATATGGTTTTTATAAGGCATATATGAGTCAACCTACTGAAGAAGCTATGGGCAATATTTGCGACACAGTAAATAAGTTAAAAAGGCAGCCTCGTGGATACAACAGATGAGGGCTTAAATCAGCGCCTAGCAGGGGAAAAAGGGACATTGCTTTTTAAGACGTTGAGGGGAAGGATCTCAATGAAGAAGAAATCTTTTGGTCTCCACCCACAATTTTGAAACTCTGATCACAACCTTTTATTTCAAAACCCATTTGGCTATTATCAACTTACCCTTTATGATATATGCATAGGCAAGGTAGCCGTGCTATGGTATCTCCCTGCTGCAATTCTTCAAGGCATATTGCACATTCCCCAGCATCTTTACTCAGCACATCCTCTGCAGAGAAAAAATTTATTCAGAGCAATAACATTAGCCATTGAATAGCAATCCTACCAATAGTTGGCAAATCTTTTACCAGAATTATACAAAACTCAGCACCTATATTTTAAATACAATTTATAAATGAGTGGATAGCATTTACCTACAGACAGGTTTCCATTTTATTAAGGTGTCACAGTAAACAAGACTAGAACAAATTTCCATGACTTGCAAAAGTAAATCAGTTATTTGTAATACACTTTCTTTCTCCTACTAATTAATATTAGTTCGGTGCACAAGATAGTTCAAAAGCTTCTAGTGTAAAATAATATGGGTAAAAAGACATAAATTTTAAAGTACTAAAATACAAAAAAAAAAAAAATCTTCAACATGGGATATATTTAAAGCTGATTAACTCAAGACAATGCACAGATAGAGCAAAGCTTTTGTGCAATTTCTGAAAAAACTTTTGGAAACCTGATGAGGCATGAAATCTCCAAGCCTTCATTATCTTTTCTAAGGCAATGCTATGCCAACTCCAGGCAGCAATTACAGTAGCTTCCAGAGGGTCCTGCAGGTATTTAAAAGCTTTTGGGGTATGTTTAAATACACTAAGGATAACCCCCTTACTATAAAGCTAATGTGCCTTTTAAACAACTTTTTGTTTACAATAAACTATGTTATACTGAAACTTAAATTTAAATTATATTTTAATGCTGAATTTTAATTTTTAAAAGGTATCTTGCCTAAAATGGTATTAGCCAATTATCTTCTGTGGCTCTTTCAAAAGGCAGGAAAAAAACTATTACTAAAGAATACAAATAAATAAAAAATAAAAATAAAAAAAGAATACAAATAAAGACTGTTGAAGAACATGTGCTTCCTCTGCAGTTACTCATCTTGAGCCCGCACAATGAGGAAACACAGACTGTCTAGAGAAGAGGAGGTATAAACTGCAAGTGGTGACAGGACTTCTATATAAGAAGGAAAGGCCCTAGCAAGAAGAGGTGACTCGCTGAACTTAGGCAATGTTAGGAGTTATTTTGGCTAACCACTGGGTAACTCACAAGATAACATATTATAGTGAGACACTTAAGTAGGAAAAGATTTCTGGATAAGAAAGTTGGATATTTATTTTTTATTTTAAAAAATGCCTTATATTACTTCTTTTAAATTCCTTGTCTCCATTATTCTTCTTTTGACCCTGAGGTCTGACTCACTACTCCTACACCCCATCCCACCCCACCCCTGTATGCCCAACTCATTTCTTCTTTCTCCCACCTCCTCCTCCCCCCATCTTTTTTAGTGTCCTGTGCATCTTTCTGTGGAAGATTTAGACAGGGAGCCAGTTTAATAACAAATACCTACGTAGAGTGTGAATAGAGAGGACAAAATAAAAGACTAGAAGAAAATACTAACAAATCTCAGTAAAGGCCTCTAATTCCAAATATAAAGTACGTTCAAAGATAAAACACCACAACGAAGAATTACATGAATATAAGTTCTACAAAAAGACAAAGAAAAAAGTAAACAAAAAAAGAAAACAGACTCAACCACTGCTTTTTTTTGGGGGGGGCCTCCCTTTTTTTAATCTTTTTTTTTTTTTTTTTTTTTTTGGCCGAACCATTTTTTTTGAGACAGGGTTTCACTATGCCATTTCAGGCTGGCCTGAAGGTTACTTTGTTACCTAACCTCGAACTCATGGTGATCTGCCTGCTTCAGTTTATAAAGTGTTGGGATTATAAGCATGCAGCACCATGCCTGACCAACCACTGCTTTTTATCCAATTCACGATATCATTGAGTGTAACAAGAGTTTCTTTTTTTAAATAAATCACCAAGCAAGAAAAAGATGCCTCCATTATAGCAACAATGCTGATTTTTAAGACAAATCTTATTTCAGAGTTAAGTGTGACAAAGAAATGTGTCTTAAAATTGATGGGCTAGAGTATCACATTTCTAACTTTAAAAATAAATTACCAATGCATCCTGATGTGAGCATAAATGAACCTACAAATCACTCATTATAAATTAAGAAAATTACATGAAAACATACTGCCACACTTTTACCATAAGCGCATGTTATAGATTTCCAACACAAAATGGAAGTAGAAATCACTAATACAGGCTGTTGAAGAGTACAATGTTGGAAGAGTAACCCTTACAACACTTCTATGTTGACATATGACAGGGTCTTTTTTCTTCAAATTGTTATTTTAAAAACTTCAGCTACTATATTTCTTCAAAGTAGGCTACTCTCTGCTGTCAGGTGTATTTTAATTTTTCCTTCCTTTTTACTTGGCTCATACTCGCATTTTCCATACTCTTGCCTTCTTCCTACCTTTAGTAAATGTGACACTTTTTGCCATCATTTGTTTAATTCTTTGTTCATGTCAGAAGACAACAATATGCAATATAACAACCGTTGTTGAATTCCTATTATTTTGCATAGTGAAATTCTGTATGATTTCTAATGTTTGCTTTACTTTTGCTATTCTTTAAAATACAAAAAATCTTAAAAGGAAGAGAAGAGAAGATTAGAGACTTAGAAATCATCTCTAAAAGGAGACTCCTCCTTATATTCCTGACTCTGGTAAATAATTTGGCTTAGCCAGCTAGGAAAACAGGTCTCACAATGAGCCAAGGAAAACCACATAAATCATGCCCTGCAGATTCCATCAACTTTACCACTAGGTTTAGTCCTTATCAGTGGGAAAGAAAGACATCCAGCAATGGAAAGAACAGCTAGGCTGACTTTCAGAAGAACCTAGATGAAAGCTAGTCCCACTTGAACCGTCTACGACCTCCCCGCCCCCGCAAAAAAAAAAAAAAGCTATTCCTTTAACCTTGTGGAAGACCTGTGCTTTCCTCTTCAAAAAGCAAAACTCCAGTGCTGCTAACAGAAAAGTAATTGGGATCTTGCTAAGGAAATGGCTATCAGGCTCTTAACAATTTATCTGATAATGCTCTCTGACAAATGTTCTCCTCCAAAGAAAGCACAAAAATCTGCTTATATTTAGGCCAATGGTAAAAGTGTGTCTATCTGTTTTTCTCTATGTCTGTTTCTGTGTCTATTCCTCATTTCCTTTTGCAATTTAGCCAGTGAGCCACAATACCTCAAGGTAGTTGGAGAACAGATGATCTGATCTCCAGTAAGTAGGAACTATAACCCTTTCTAGCTGGAAATACCTAAAAGATGACAGAGATCTCCATTCCCTCAGTATCTCATAAAGAATACTAGGGTATGAATAAGGCAGGAAGAGAAGCTGGCTGAAACTATTTGGGAAAGGAGGCATGACAAGACCTCAAAACACAGATGCGAAACAAGGCTCAGAGCCCCCACTTGTGAACTTCTCAGAAGCACTCAAAATAGGTTTGACAGGATACCAGTGTGTGAAATATAAAAAAAGGAGAATTGCTCTCTGACCTATACTCTCATATATTCTATCATGACTTTTCAGAGTGGTCCACCTTATGCTATAGAGTATGTTTTTATTTTCCTCCCTTTTTACTTAGATGAACCTCACTTTGTAGAGCCTATTTTTATCCCTTTTTGTGCTTTCTGCACCTTTAATAAATGTGAAACTGTGCCACTGTTTAAAAAAAAAAAAAAAACACCCTGATATGAGAAAAATTTTAATAAACTTAAAACATTTTATTGGGCTGGCTAGATAGCTCACCGGACAGGGACTGGGGTGTGCTGGCCCCGCCCCCAGAGTGTGCTGAGACAGCAACTGAGACTGGGCATGGTGGCGCATGCCTGTAATCCCTGAGTTTAGGAGGCTGAAAACAGGAGGATCACTACAAGTCTGATCTGTATAGTGAGACCCTGCAGACCCTGTACTATACTAAATACATTAAAAAAAATTAAAAACATTTTATTATTTCCTATTTTTGGTACCAGGGATTGAACTCAGGATCCTACAATTGCCAGGCAGGTGCTCATGCCACTAAGCTATCTCCCTGACCCTAATTTTATTATTTCTGATCTTATTCTATTTATAAGAAAATCTGTACAAAGACATATCTAGGGCTGGGGAGAATAAGTGTCTGTCTGGCTCAGTAGAATAAGTGCCTGTCTGGCAAGCACAGGGTCCTGAGTTCAATCCCCAGTACTGCCAAAAAAAAGACATATCCAATCTGTACACGATTAACAGAATTACATAACATATTTTAGGAATATTGTACATTACACCATTTCAAAACTGGTGGGGCAAGTTTTATCCATCAAATAATTTGTAGGAAATAAATTTTACAGATCTCTTTGGTGTAAGTTAGGATATTACATTGAAACCAATAATTTTAAGCTAAGTTTCTTTAATCCTCAGTAATGAAAAGTATGAAAAATTTTTTCTTTTAATCAAGGTAGACTTATATATACAAAATCCTAAACACACTAATTGATGTTACGGCCCTAGTAAGGGCTGAAGCCCTTAAAGCAACAGCTTATCTTCCCAATGATCACTTCCTCCTCCTTCCCCACTTCAGCCCTGGGTACAATTTACTGTGACCTTTCCTGCCCACACAAAGGAGACTCCAATCAGCTCCTTATACATCACTAAACCCGCCCCTCAAGCTCCGCAACTGGCAGACGTCCATTAAGTCTCAGGCTCCCTGTCTCAGGTCAGAGGATCTGCCCATCTCCCTGCCCTCGGTCCTCTCCATGTGTTTAGTCAATAAAGGCTTTCCCTCCCCATTTCTGCTTCTCTGTTGCGCCGCCATCGCTGTTGCTCTAAAACCTATCACTAATTTCACACAGAAGCAACCCAATACATTCTATACTTCTAGAATTACCAGTTCTCAGAAAATTGAAACCTAGGGGCTGGGGAGATGGCTCAGTAGAGTAAGATAAGCGCTTTCCTGGCAAGCACAAGGGCCTGAGTTCAATCCCACCCAAAAAAAAAAAAAAAAAAAAAAGAAAAGAAAATTGAAACCTAATGTTAACATATTATCACTGCTGACTGTCAACTACATTGTGATAAGCAACTTGAAAGACAATTCATTCTTACTACATGATTA